GCTGAAGTAATTTACGTTGTTGTTCCATTGGATGAAAATGTGCAAAAGTCATGGGTTGAGAAAATAAGCAAATATTGAAACCTGTTCTTTGATCTGAAGCAGATATATCAGTTGAAGACTGTGCGAACAGCACCTGTTATTATCTTCGTAAATGACCTCATTCGAAAATCAGTGAGGGTGAGCTTAGATTACTTTAAGATCACAGAGAGACTGCTGAAAAATTTGCTGAAAACTGTTGCTATGGATACGTGCAGAGTAGTGCTAATGATCATGTATATTGCAATTTTTAGCGGGCCGTAGGTAGTTGGTTATGCATAGCGTATTTGGTTTCTGTATATTTTAGTTTCTTGAATTTCCTTTAGATTCATCATCATTTTTTCCATTGAAAAGTTTTGCTGAAAGTCCACTTTCGCTGCTGTTATGCACACCATTGTAATTTTCTCCCTCTAAGACAATGTTATCGCACACAGTCTAATGCTTGAGGTACGTACTTCGCCTCCTTTACAGCATCAGCCATTCGTCACAATGCCTTTCAGAGTTGTGTCGTAGTCTGCGATCAGTTATACTGCTGAAACCGAAGGAGCTTTATCAGAACTTATTCTCTATCGAGACATGCCATTTTTGTGATAAGTCGTGTTTGAATCGTCACTTTCGATTCGTCACTTTTGAATCGTTACTGTTCTTAATCATTCCCTGCTAATCGCAAATTGCAGACACCTATTTATGTGTCTGTTTAGTTATCAAGACCAACTTATGATTCGAGAATGCTTATGAAGAGTGAGTATTATATACATTCAGTTTCTAAGTTCTGTTCTGTGTTACATAATATTTTGTTGAACATGTCTCTTCTGATACACGACTCACCTATTGGAATGCCTTTGTTCATGGTTACGTACAGAGTTTCTGCGTTTTTTCTTTCCTGTGTATTTGCGCCTTTCTGTGTTCTGTTTGCGCTGTAATACAAGATTATTTGATGACCCCGTCCAAGCAGTAGACCTTGACTATGATCTACCCTGAAATGCAAAGGGAAAAGTTCGATACCCTGTATTTCGCCGTTTCTAATCTCGAACCGCAGCGTAATCGTTTTTTTCGCTTATGAAGACGATCTACTGTGTTAATTAATTTTTATGTGTCCAGTGCGACCGATGGATGGATGACTCGGAAAAGACCGTTCCACAACTACGAGTCCAAATAGACGACTTGGAAGCCGATGCCAGGCGTATCTCCACGCAACTCGACAGGATATTGGTAGAGTTTAAGGGATCGATTCATGGCGTAGGTCGTTCATTTGAGCAGTCGACATGTCCATACGAAATAGCGAAGTATCGATGCGTTTGTTTCAGATGTCCCAGCTGACCGTTGAATGCTCGAAGATTTACCAGTCCGCGGTGCTGAAAGTTTGCGACTCGTCCGACGCGGCTGTCAAGGTATATATGCTAATTAGTTATAATGTCTGATAATGACTAATGACGTAAAAGATACAGTGAGGTGGGGCAAAATTGCCTGGGTACCTGCTACGTTTTATAACTGCATTTTACGCTGTCATCGGAATTGCAATTTCGCGTTTAGTTACATGGACACGAACAGCGACCAACAACAGTATAAGAAACAGCGTATTAAAACAAAATGGACTGGAGCATACTTTCCATTTCAATGTGCGGGAAATAAACAATGGAAGGCTTGTGTTTATCAGAATTTCGAGTCTGCTTTAAGCTTCCACAGTTAGCCATGCTAATGGTACTCATCTTTCATGCAGCTTTTGATTTGGTACTGATTTCCTATTAGGTAAAAACATTCCGGGTTCGAATCAAGAGGATGGACGATTGTTTTTTTAATGGCGAATTCCCTTGAGGAAGAAATTTACCCCGCGTTGCTTCAGTGCAACCAACTGAAAGATGAACAGCAGATCGTTTGCTTACATACAATATGGACAGCTGTTTAATCTGATATAGTCACACCTTAATCGGCGAGTTGCTGTCCGATGCAACCGTTTCCTGTGGCTGCACTTTGCCGTGACCCGACGTCAAGTGTGAAAATCAGTACAGAGTGTAACGTCAAAGGGAATCGCGTTGTGAATCACAGCCATATATAAATTTAACTTAGGTTTTTGGTCTGTGCCGCTCTGTTATTTTATGCTTTGTTTATCAATAACGGACAGCCGTCACTCCTATACCGATAAAATTTGTTTTTGCTCTTCCTCCAAAAGTCATTTTAAAAGACTTTTTATTTGTGAACCTTTTCATTTAAACTATCATGTAGTAACTAATGGTTTAGTTGGCATTCACTGGATGTCAATTTAGTCCTTATATCAACTTATGGCCAGAGCCGATTCGCTCTTGGATGCAATGAAGCAACTTCCGGATTTGGCACAAAAAATGTTAGTTGTTTTCAGTGGCCATTTTCTTGTGATAAGTGTTGCATTGATTTTTATAGAAAGGACATAAAACAGATGCTGGACATCCTGGACAGCGTCATGCGGAAGCAGCCAGATCCGTTATAACGTAGACTTCGCGAAGCACCGGTATACGCGGTAAGATTTTGGTAATGGTGGCTAGCTATTGACCAGTATTAGCTGAGCATCACCCAGGATTCGATGTTTGGAACACCAGACACATTTCGCTTTCTAGTTTATATTGTCTAAACGGTGTTTTAAATTGGAAGATTACTGGCTATATACATTTGACAAAGGCTCTTGCTGTTCAGCATGAATAAAAGATCAGGCTGAAGAAATCTCGACTAGTGAATAACCAACGATAGAAACAGTCACAAGATCAATTCAGTGACATAATAAACAGGGGAAATACTTCCGAAAATATGGAAATAAATCAAACTGGTGTAAATTAAACATGTTTAAAAAACACGCTTTCTGAAACTCATTTCAGTTCTGTGTCTTTTAATTCAGTAAATTGCCACTTAGGTGGTTATAGACACAGGAAAGCAGATGGTAGTCTTTATTATAAAGGTTTTAGGCAGTTATGATGAAAACTGCCATATGTTTGTTTCGTTGTGTCTAAAACCAATTGAATTGGCACTTTATTCTCAGCAATATGGTTTAATCTCATTAGCGTAACTGAACATCCTAGCAGATACGTGAATGAATATTGTGCTGCAGAGCTGCGTCTTTTGATATATATTAGCTTATTAGAATCTGGTGGCGTGCAATATTGTCATGCAGTCGATGCATGCTGTTGTTCAGGATTTCGTTACTCATGTGAACTTCGTAGGAAACTTCTAGTTCAGAGATATGGAAAATAAGGTCTTTGTGAATTTGGCCGTTGTACCATTAGACTACTTTGCTGAGCATCTAAGTTCATTGGTTACTATTTCATAACTTATGTCAGAAGACCGAGTATTCTGCTCTTACGTTAGTGGTCTAATGAAAACGGCATAAAATCAGTTTATTTCTATCTTTCTGTTTCTACACAACGCATGGAGTTGATCAATCAAATGATGAACCAGTACCAATGTTTTGACGAGAGTCTTCTTGCTGGGCATCGGAAATTAACTTTACTGCCGTCGCCGCACAGACCAGATGCTCGTCTTTTGGATGCGAACGACGAAAAAAATTCTTTAAAAAAACAAACATGCCTACCATAAAGAAGGTCCGTGAGTCACGGGCCAATACGTCGGTACTGATCAAGCATCCGACTGACCAGTTGTTTGCGTTGTACGTAATTAACCTATCTTATGCCGTTTCATCGCTTGAAGTGTATTTAATATTTTGGGCATTCAGTGCATTAGCCATCCCGCAAAAATATAATCGCTTGATGAATAGTCGATCCGCAATCAGGAAATTAGTTATAGAAGTATTCTGTAAATAATGGTCTGTTTTGCTGTATTTAACAGATTGGCAGCTGTTCAGTTTTCAGGTGCGTACTTTGTATGAGAAATGCGAATTGAAACCAGACCAAGCTGATACCGCTGATCCGGGTTGCCGAGCAGCAAATTATGAAGGCCCTGTTTGGTAGTTCACTTATCGGTTCTGTTCGAGCTTATTATTCGAAATGCAGTCAAAAATCTGAACATTACAATTTCTGTGGTTTTTGTTTTGAAATGTGACCGTCGTTCCACAGACCGACAGTGGCAGCTTTTTATATTCTTTTGTTTAAAAGATTTTTCACCTTTTGCTGTTATTAGTTTGTTCGTTAGTATACACTCTGCAGCCGTTAAGCCTTCAACATCCTCATTAAATCTCACATGAGGCAGTTTGAACATATTTCACGGTTATCTAATTAAATATTGTTTCTTATCCGTGAAAAAGCCCT